GCAAAAACGCAAATCCCACGCGGGGGTAAAAATGAAGTATCATATTAGCATATATTGAAATAAGAAAGATGAGAATTTTAGTTTTCTTACTAAATTATTATGGAAAATTCTGTCTGGCTTCCTAAAGAAAGCCTCTCTTTTCCATTCTGGTTGAATTGGGGGGGGGGGCAATTAATTTTTTTTCCTGTAGCCTTCATCTGACTATGCAAATAATTCCCTTCTTGCAGTGAACTCTCAAATCATATAAAAATGATTCTAAAATAATGATTCAGTCCTCTCTATGCTATAGAGAGCTTGTGAGTTGCAAGTTTGTTGTCTACAAAATTCAGTTTCTTACAGAATTCCTTAATGGTTTCAGGAAGACGAAGAAGCTATTTCTTTATGCATATTGTTCACTTCAAAGGGAATTTAATCTTTTTTGAGGAGACTGCTATGTTTCCATTATCATACAAGAAAATTCATTCTGGAACCTTTTTTGCTCAGCAGGAACCTTATGTATTTTCCACACTCTCATTATACTTGTTTTGGCATGAGCATAAAGGGGGCATGCTCATTTATATTCTAGCTGATCAAGTGGAGAAGTCTGACTAATGTGAATTTTGGATCAAGGTGAGGGTCATCTTTGTAACCTGCACTAAAAGGAATTTTATGGAGTGACTTCTCCCAGAGGAGGATATTTCTGTTAGATCAGTGGCCCAGAGGCAGTGGAACAAATCTTCTTCCTCGTGTCATCTTCATTTTAATATCAGCTGTGCAACAGCAGCACAAAATGCTGGATTAGAACTAAACATACCATATAGCTGAATGATGTACTCAGTCAGATTGCATCCCTCACACTGTGTATCTTTGTAGGTTTTTAATCATGCCTTTCCTTATGCTCTTTCCTCCTTCCTTTCCCACTGTTTTGCTTCCTTCCCTCAGATCTTTCCCTACAGCCTCCTTTCTCCTTTCAGTCAGATCCTGTCATGCTACTTGCTCTCCTGTGTTATACCTCTGTTACTGAATAATTTTGGGAAAGCAACATAGACACTCTTAGCCAAAGTTAAAGGTTACATTGCCTTAGAATATCTTTGTTGCTTTTCCCAAAATTAACTCCTGGTATTGTAGGTCAGCTAACCCAGCTGTAAGAGTCATAGAATCATGGAATGGTTTGGGTTGGAAGGGACCTTAAAAATCATATAGTTCCAAACACACTACCTTGGTCAGGGACACCTTCCACTAGCCCAGGTTGCTCAAAGCCCCGTCCTACCTGGCCTTGAACACTGCCAGGGAGGGGGCAGCCACAGCTTCTCTGGGCAACCTGTGCCAGGGTCTCACCACCCTCACAGTGAAGAATTTCTTCCTTATATCTAATCTAAATCTACTCTCTTTCAATTTAAAACTGTTACCCCTTGTCCTATCACAACCCTCTGTGATCAGGATTCCCTCCCCACCTTTCCTGTAACCCCTTTAAGTACTGGAAGGCTGCTGTATGGTCTCCCTGGAGCCTTCTCTTCTCCAGCCTGTTCTCACAGGGGAGATGCTCCAGCACATCATCTCTCACCATTGTGGTCTCCAGGCATACTAAGACCTTTCATTTCCATTTTGCTGTGGAGAGCATCTAGAAAATGTGTTGGTCTCTTCATAGCTTTATCCTGTTTCACTGAGCCAAACAACGGAGAGAAGACCTGGCATATAAGACAGCAAACATTTGGGTTAGGAGGGACAGACCTGTTCTATTTTTTGCAAGCAAGAAGGTATTTTCTGTTTCCCGTTTTAATGTTAATGAATTAAAAGACTGCCAATGGATACCACCCCATCACTGGCAAGGTGCCAGTTAAGCCTTTCCTTAGTGTCTACCAGGGACTGAACTGCCTCATTGTTGGCAAAAATGTGTGGGAGTCAAAGCAGTGGGAGAACCTCTTCAGGCAGAGGAGCACCAGCTTTTTTAGGACAACAGAATTATATCCTAGTGCACTGCCAATGGTGAACTCTTTGGTCTTCCTATGTTAGATACCTTTAGTCCTAGTTGTTTTGTCCACGCTCTGAAAATGAACCACATTACATGTGGTACAAGAGGAGTCAGACGTGAGTGCTGTTTGAGATGGGAGCGAACTGGGGGAGAGAGACTGTGCCCCACTCAAGACATCCCTCCAGAGGTTATGATTATAAGGGAAGCTATTAGCGTAGGAGGTGACTCTACAGATTTATGCCATTAGAATACTTCTCCCTTTAGCAATGGAATTTTCATTTAATCAGTTTTCTGCCAGATTCCATCATCTTTGAGCTTTTCAAGTTCACCAGAGGGCCTGTTTCTGAAGCACACTGGCTGCCATGCTATGTTGTGTTTAAAGGGAAGGAAAAGACACAAAGGGAAGATGGAAAAATAGAAATGCAAAACGTCCCATGGGAGATGCTTGCCCTTACCATGTCATGCTAGTTTAAATACAGTTCCCACATATCACATGTCAAGCTGTACTTGATTGTTTTCAAATAGATGGCAAAAATCATAAGACGAGGAAAATGTTCTTTTGTGTGACATGTTCTTTTGATACATTGGGTTCTGTAGCTGTCAAAGCAAAGGCTGTTTTCCCATCTATTATTGCAAATGCATTTGGGGTAAATCTCTTCTGTAACTCTCTATTCCCCCAATTGGTTACTTCAATACAAGTGTTACTGTTTTGTTTTTTCTAAATCTAATGAAACTATGAAGTTGCAGTAGTGCATTTTCTTTATGATCCTCAGTAGGCAATGAAGTGCTTTCTCAGTGAAGATTTAGATCATATCTGGAAATGCAGTCTGTTTCAAGTATTTTCTGCTTTTCTGGCAGGAGAACAGAATATTTAATTTCATTATTCAGCATAGGGTTATTCATTTCATGCAATGAAGGGAAATTCATCAATATTGTCTTCAGCATCCAGAAAAATGATACTTACCATGACTGTTTCACATACTCTATTTATATTTTATATCTTTCTTGTCACTCGGCAATTATTCATCTCTCTGCTGAGGGGTGAAATTCTTGTATTGAGTTACTGTAATTACTCTGAACTCCTAAAAGTGATTCAATCACTGAAAGCAATTGATTTTACTTAAAGATATTTCTTGAGACAGATTCGCCAAATACAAATAACTCAATAAAGGTTATTTTTTCCTGTTGATTCTCAAGAATATTTAGTGATGCTTTATAAAAGGGGTAAATCAATGTTGCTGCAACTTAACATTCATTGCACTAGTATTAATTGTGATGGATTCTTGGAGATGGATGCAAATGTGATAGTGCAAGTAAGTGGGAATGCAGTTGAAAGGCAACATTAATTCATTCCCAGTGGTTGTTAAATGTCACAAGTTATTCGTAGTTTTGATGATATTTTCCTTTTTAAACCACTTGGTGTAAAAGCCCCACATCATTGTGATGTATTTGTGTATACAAAGTCGTCAAGGTAATTATCTCTGAATCTTTTGTATTATGTTTAATTTCAGTGTAGTGTCCCAGATCTGCATTTTTTGGAAAGATCAAAGTATAGAGTGTAAAGGTGGTGATAGACTGTACCCCATTCCCACAGAAATCAATTAGAGGCCTTCCATTTGGGAAGTGGGAACAGTGGGAACAGGAACAGGCTTAGTATCATGATATGTGATTTCTCTTGCCATCAGTAAAACAGATTTTCTCATTTATCTTATCGTCAGAGATGTTTAAATTTCAAACGTCAGCTGATTCAAATTTTATGTTTGGGGAATTCAGGCACTGAGATGATTTGTGTTTAGGGCACTGAACTGGGACTCAATAGATCTGGGTTTGTTCTGTCATGCATTTCCCGTGTGATCTTATGCAAATCCTTCATTGCCTCTTGCAAAGCCTCGTCAGTAAAATAGGGTAATGTTACTTCTCTTCTTGTTCGAAGGATTTGTTAACATTTGGATGGCTTATCTACAGCGCATTGCTGAGGGCCGTATGAAAATGTACAATCTTATTTAAATGTACTGCTTTACATATATATCCTTCTTTCATTTTATGCTTCTACACCTACTGCTTTCTTACAGCCCCCTCGTGGGACTCTTTCTTTCATACTTTTCTTTATAAGCAATCTTCCACAGGCTGGCCTTCTCCTTCAAATACATGTTAATCGCGTCCTGTTTTTTAAGCTCACCAAGGCAGATAGTATGGATGAGCAGATATATACATGTTGGAGAGGCACTATGTGAGCTGTACTTCATGTGGATAATCTTTGGTGATCCATCTGACAGGTTTGTGCTTGGGAAACTAGATCTTTGATGTATTTTTGTTCCAGGTATGTCCACTCACATGATTCAGATGTACAGTTATCAGTCACAGAAACTCATATTGATTTCAGGAGTGAGCATAGAAACCCAAGAATGCCATTTCAGATACTTCTTGAGCAGGTATTCAAATAACAAAATCAATACTGTGCACATTTTTTTTACCAAGTATGTTATATTAGTATATATTCACACAAAGCTGTTTGCTTAAATGCTTCTGTGTTTGCCACTTTTGCCTTTGCAATTATTATTTGAGGCTTCTAACTTATGCTATGTGTGGTTTTTAGCTAAGTTGCATGATCATAGAAGCCAGTGAGCCTTTACCGAAGTGAGCAGGTCTGATCTGTACATTGTTCCCTATCAATCAGTATTATCTCGGATAGAACAGTGATTTCAGTTGCAACTGCAGGAGATACAGCTACCTGCTCTCTATTAGTTTTAATTAAGGTGAGAATTCTTAATCCCCTGGAATACTGTTTCTTTGATGTCTTTGCACACCATGGATAAACATTGACTTACTGATGGCATCTTCTGTAAAACTGTGTTGACTGTTGGCTCTTTGAGTTTGATGTAGATGGGGCAGATACAGAAATCTTACAACACCTTACTGCTAAAAAAATTAGTATATCTAGAAGTATTAAATGTATGGACGTTTAGATAATCGTGCTTCTTTCAAGAAAGCGGTAAGTCATGGTTTACCTACATGCAACTGCTGTTTCCTTAATGAAGCTTCCATTCAGACATTGTAGATATAAAGCCAGCCAATATGGAGGACCTGACGGAAGTGATAACAGCCTCTGAGTTTCATCCCCATCACTGCAATCTCTTTGTCTACAGCAGCAGCAAAGGATCCCTGAGACTCTGCGACATGAGGGCATCGGCTCTCTGTGACAAACATTCCAAGCGTAAGTCCTTGCTTCATTGAGCCCCATATGTCATTAAAGTCTTATTATTCACGGATAGCATGTAGATGTGTGCATACTCCAGTGTATTAGCTTTGCAGTTGTAGGCACAGTCAAAAATAAAACAATCTATGCAAGTATACCTATGAGCTTGGTGACCGTCATGTCTGTGAGTGGTTGCCCTTGTGGTTCTTACTGCAGGGATCAGTGAATAACTCACAACTCTCTAGGAAGAGAGTGGTGATTCCTAACAAAGCAATTACTTGTGTGGTAGGAGTATTTAGCTACATGAGCATTCTGTTTGAATACACAACTACTGTTCTGAATACTGAAGCAAGTAAATTTTGTCATTTAAACTGCGTTCAAAATTTTGAATACATTTTCTGCATTAAAAAATGTCAGGGTCCTTCCTAAAACTTTAGCCTAGAATTCCCTATGTGTATGTTTTCAATAATATGTCTGTACAGGGAGGATGGGGGTGGGGAGAGAAAAAGATACTGTGTTGGTATAAAAGGTGTCATCTATCCTAAAGTGATTTTCTTTAGCCTGTGAGACTTTGAGACAGAGCCGGCAATTCATGACTGTTCATAACTGAAACCTACATAAGAACAAGGAAGTAAAATGTTAAAACGTGATGTTGTCTTTGTTATTGAAGTAAAGGATGAAGGAAAACACACATTCATAATACCTTGCCATCAACTCTTTATAGTCTGGATAAGACAAAATGTAGTTCTTCCCACCAGTAATCAGCCAAACTTGGTCACTTTGCCTTGTGTGAACAACCTGTTAATTCTTGATCTTCTGAGACTGAAAACCACCAGACCAAGGCATTGTGTCGTGTGGCTGGTTCCTATGAGGAGCAGACAACCTAATGAATGAACTGTGGTGGCTTTGCTTTAGCCACCTTCAGGACTGGGGCTTCCAGGACACTTCCATTTCACAGAATTTGGTCTGCAGTTTCTTTTACAATGTTGAAACATTGGGAAGGATTAGTGGCAGGATCACATAAGAGGTTTTATGTCAATCAGTTCCTACTTGAACCTTTTGAGGTGGGTAGGTCTTCTTAGTAGGGGCGGGAGGGTGGTAAGAAAACATCTGAAGATTTAAGTGAGACATAAATGGTACACAGATTTAGTACACAAGCTATTTTTTTAACTGAAGTGAATGTAGTAAAGAGCCTGTGATTAGGCTTTTCAGCTGCAAGGAGAAGTGCACATGCTCAGAACCTCATAGGATGTGGTCTCCAATTACAGAAAGTAACCTTTAGGACAATTTCCTAAGCAGAGAAGTGTTTTACCATTGTTAGCTGTATCCCCTTGTACTTGTAGGGCAAATCCAATACCATGAAGTGAAATGTGAGCATGACACAATCTGGTACATTGCTGAGAGTTATCCTGTTCCACTTAATTGTTTTGTTCCGTAATACTTTCATTTCTTCCTACTAATAAGGCCTTCATGCCCCTGTAACTCAGTGCCAAATGCCAATCATAACTTACTAAAACAACAGTACAGTAACCCTGGATGAAAGAAGGCATTTTATGCCAGAAGGGTGCACAAGTTCTAATGGTCATTGATTAAACCCCATTTTCCAGATCTGAGTTAGAAAATAGCCATTTAATGTATCATTGCTGCACTGCGCTCAAGTGAAGCTCACTGAGAAGCTGAGTGTGTCTCCACACACACATGTAATACAAAATGATACATCACTGTTAGAACTGCCGAAGTGTTAAAAGGAGTAGGCCCATGTACTGCTGATTGGGATGGTTTGAGTATACCTCTCAGAGGCAAGTAAAACTAATTTTATAAAGTCCATAGCAACCTGTGAGGATATATCATAAAAACCAATCTATATGGGAAATGAAATATTTGCACATTGTGGCTCTGGTTGTTTCATTGTGCATCTGGTTCCTCTTTACAGTTGCTTTACACGTGGTGCATACTCATGATCAGTACCTTACTCTCCTAGCTCAGCTCACGTTTCCACCTTTTCCCATAATTGATCTAAATTCTCAACCAAACCAGCTACAGTGACTTTACTAGTCACTGTAAACCCTCATGTTCTGCCATGCAATAATGCTTTCTTAATATCACTATGTACTGTATTTCAGATGCTGTTCTGAGATCATAATGGATGTACATATTTTTAGGGATAAAAGATTCAATGTAAAACTTATAAAAAATACCTGAATGCTGAACATACTCTATGAACTTTTGGTTTTGCTTGTTTTTCAGACCCTTTGTTATCCAGATCTCTATAGCTGGGCTAAAGTTAGTTGCAGCTTTTGGGCCCTTTTGCACAGGTCTAGAGAGTGCTGTGAATAATTACTATGCCATACTTTATAAATAAATTACATACTAATATCTGTAGTGTAAGTCACTGACACAGGATGTTAATAAATTATAGTGTTCTTGAAGATTTCTGGTTTGCCAAACTCAGTGGCAAAATCTCTGTTCAGCATTAGTGACAGCAACACTACAAGGTTGCCCTTATAAATCTTTCATGGCTCTGACATGGAAGAGACAAGAGACATTTTCCATATCTCCTCATCCTTGATGTCTATGCTGAGATTTATTAGCAAGCTGCCAATTTGTGTGATGAGTTGTAATGGGGACCTCTGTCCCTTAGAAAAATGATCTTAGACCACCAAATCTCTCCATAAGGCATTGAAAGAATATCAGGTCAGTAGCAGAGTTTAAAATGATCATTGAGATACTGATAAGGTGTGATAAAATGTGTTGGTTTTCTAATAGACTACCTGAAATTGCTTGTTTTAACACTTCTTTAATAGATCATGCAATGCTGGGTGAGCAATCAAAAGCAAAACATATGTAGCCTTTATAAATGGATATCCAGGAAAGACCAATCTGTAACTGTAGGGGTGATACATACATAATACTGTTCTGTGTTATTATCAGACTTCACTAGTAGTGGGAGAGAATTCCATCAAGATATTCTGGAGAGGAGGTGAAAAAAGAGGTGGATGTTCCTGCTTATTTAGAATATTAGAGGGATGGGAATTAAAGAAGAAGTTGTTCTTGCAGTCAGAAGGTTGTAGGTAAAGATTTAAGATGGATATGAAAGTCAGACTCCAGCAGCAAGAACTAGGGAATTAATTTAAAGAATATGGAAGCTTTCATCTAAATAGCGTACATGGCAAAATACCCAAAGGTCATCTTTGAGGTTACTCAGGTAATATGCATGGCAATGCAGCGTGGAAGGAAGGCAGTATATGGGACATATGTGACAGCAGCAAAACAAGGGAAGTTAACAACTGCAGAACTGTAATTGTTAGAGCAGTTAGCTGGAAACATCCCAGAAATAAAAGAACTATCTCCCACCCCAAATTCCATAAATTCTTATGGGAGGGATTCAGGTAATGAAAAAGAAAAGCATAAGGATGTTGTTACAGTAAGAGCATCCTGACCAAAAAATACTTATAGCAGTATAATATGCAACTTTTCCATTAATAAATAGTTGCTAGTTTGGTTTTGTTATATTCTTGCTAATATTATATTCAGAGCTCCTTATAAATCTGCGTGGAGGTAAGATGATTCTTCTAAACAGCTTGTAGACTAGATATGTACATATGGCTGTTTCAGCAAATCATCATATAAAACAGTCAGCTAAAGAAAACTGAGCTTGAGCATGTGAAGTCAGAAAAAAAGAACAGTTTTAGTAGTTCATCAGAATTATTAAATTCAGTATTAAGTGGTAAATAGAAACTGTATACTTATGCAACATGGAAATTTGTCACTCATGAGTATAACTCCTATTGATATTCCATGTAATAGCCTTAATATCTTAAAGTCATTGCATACTTCAGAAGTTGTGCTCTATTTAAACACTGTATGTTGCTTTAAGGGCTTTTTTAGTGTTCATTTCTTAATATGTATTTGTAGACTAAAACCCTGTTTCTAATTAGTCATTACCCAAGTGCAAAATCTACAATAAAATACTTCCAAGTAAAGAGGAGCTGCAGTTTCAACGTTATTGCTCCATGTGCTGTGGTGGTTTTTAAAATACAAACTTTGGGGTTACATAACGCAGTTAGCCTGTCACCATTAGTTCATGCTTTCCATCCTCCGTACAGACTTAAGCAGCTTCTGACATCTGATCCTCTAACAGAAGCCATTTAGAGCCATTTTAGATGACAGGCAATCCTAAGCCATCTTCTCTGGACTCTCCGTGTAAGGCACAAAGCATCTCAGCTGGTGCCTTCCCAACTCCATGGGATAGACAATCAATATCTTAAAAGTACAAAATGATCTTTGGAGCAATGCGGAGTGAATTTGGGGTTTGGTTTGTGACCCAAAGATGGTACTGTCTTTTTTTTTTTGAGAGTCCTTTTCCACATTTTAATTTGAAATCCAGGCACGAAAGAAATGTCAGCCCTTTCCCAAGGATAAGTCACTATCCTGTCAGTCTGGCATGTAACTCAGTTTGGTTATCTGTTGGGTTTTTTGAGATCACATTGGATTTTTAATTTAAGAATTTCTAACTGTGGAAACAGAAATCAAGGATAATCTACTTGAACATGTTGTTTTTTAAAAATTAAGTTAATTATATTTACCAGTCATTTAAAGGAGGTTGGAATTTCAGAGTTAAGATAGCTTTCAGACCTCTAACTGTATATAGTTTCTTTTTCATTTGCAACAGAGAACAATCAGATGCACAAAAATAGCCTGTGACAGAATATCCCTGTTGGATTTGCTAATTAATATTGACCTTTCCAAATGAATGATGCTTATTGTATGACTGGAAGAGACAACTTGTTTTCCTTTTATGTGAGCTTTACATCTAAAATGTGCTTTTTATTTCTGTGTCTGGTCTCATGTCAGGTTATCATGTGAGAGGGAGACAGCCACCATTCTCATTTTGTGCATTGAGAGGTCACTGTCAAAATAATATCCACTTCAGGCAAAACTGCAAGGTTTCATGTGACAGGAGTGAAACTTACCTGAGCTTCCATAATGATTTGACCCTGTCTTTTAGTAAAGGCTTG